CAGGGGTTTTTCCCTTTTGTTTGGGTTCCCGCCTCCTAAATTTTTTGGTTTTCCTCTTCCTTTTTGGTCTTCCTCTTCTTCCTATTTTTCTTCCTTTCTTGGGGCCCCTTTTCTTTCCCCCTTTCACCTTTTCCTTATTTCTTTCCCCCATTTTTTTTGTTTTAGGGGGGGGGGGGGGGGGGGGGGGGGGGGGGGGGGGGGGGGGGGGGGGGGGGGGGGGGGGGGGGGGGGGGGGGGGGGGGGGGGGGGGGGGGGGGGGGGGGGGGGGGGGGGGGGGGGGGGGGGGGGGGGGGGGGGGGGGGGGGGGGGGGGGGGGGGGGGGGGGGGGGGGGGGGGGGGGGTTTTTTTTTTTTTTTTTTTTTTTTTTTTTTTTTTTTTTTTTTTTTTTTTTTTTTTTTTTTTTTTTTTTTTTTTTTTTTTTTTTTTTTTTTTTTTTTTTTTTTTTTTTTTTTTTTTTTTTTTTTTTTTTTTTTTTTTTTTTTTTTTTTTTTTTTTTTTTTTTTTTTTTTTTTTTTTTTTTTTTTTTTTTTTTTTTTTTTTTTTTTTTTTTTTTTTTTTTTTTTTTTTTTTTTTTTTTTTTTTTTTTTTTTTTTTTTTTTTTTTTTTTTTTTTTTTTTTTTTTTTTTTTTTTTTTATTCTTGTTGTTCCCCTCTGGTCTGCCCCCAGCTCCTTCTTGTCTCTACTTAAAATTCTTAAATCTCTGTGCTCCTCACATACTCCTTTATCCTTTCTTTTGAGTTCTCCCCTTCTTTTCCTAGCCTTATCACTGGTCCTTTGACTGTTGTCTTTCCCCCTAAGGGTGGCTATACAGCATTTTTTGGGCCAGTTTTGACTTTCGATGCTATGTGGGTTTTTCATACTGTCCGGGGCCTCCCCCCTTTAAACTGGCTTTATTCGTTTCGGGGTTTCTTTACTAATTTTCCTTGTTTTCCTGGGTCCTATCCCCTCCTGTACCTTTTCCTTTTCTCTGTTGACTTATTTTTTGGCCTCCCTACACCTTGGGAAAAACCCAAAGGACCCCTTTTTTTGGTTTTTCCCTTATTTTTTTCTTTTTCCCCTTTGGGAAAAAAATTTTCCCTCTGCCTCCCTTGCACTTTTTTTGCCACAAAATTCCATCACTCTTTTACTGATTTTCCAAACCTTTTTCTCGTCCCCATTTGAACCCCCCTGCGGGAAAATTTTCTCATACCTGTTAGCCCCCCCTTTTATTTTTTGGGGCCTGCCCCCTTCAGTTCCTGTTACCTTCCCCACTTTTTAATCTACTATATAGCCCAAAACTCAAACCCACATGATGCTACCCTCGGGGGGGGGCCTCCCCGGAAGTGATGCCCTCGATGTCTGAACTGCTCAGGGGGGAACAAAAGATCCAGTCTTGCTGGCTCACCCTCCCCCGGCTCCCCTCTCAGGTTGGGTCCCTGCAGGGTTGATGCTTGGGGTTTTCCCCCAAGTCCCCAATCCTTCATTTTGGCCCTCCCCAATGTTTCGGGCCCCCCCTTTTGTGGTCCAGTTTTCTCAGTCGATCCCCCTGTGGTTAAAAATCGCCCATTCCCATTAACTTTGCTCGGGCTCAAATGAGCTTTTTCTTGCCCCCTCACCCCAGGGGTTGTCCACCATCACCCTGTTTTTTTCTTCGTACTCCCCCCTTGGCCTCCTGCAGTTCTTTGGGGGGTTTAACAAACCCCAAAGACAACTTTATGTTCCCCCCGGAAATAAATTTTTGAAATCTACAATAGTCTCTTTCTCCAATCATGTCCATCCCTTTCCCTTTCCCTCAAACCCCCCATTGGTTTTTTAAAATAAAAGCAGTCCCAACCCCTCCCCCCCCTTTACTCCTTCTATCTTTCCTCAGGATCTGATTTTCCTGTTGGAAGATTGTGTCGTTATTGTCTCAGCTTTTTTGGGGTTTTTTTTGGTAATGCTATAAATGTCTGGGATTTTTCACTGATTTTTTTCATTCCACCCCTTCATTTTTTTTTTCTTTATTCCACCCGCGTTTGTGTCCCAAACCTTTATTTTTCTTTTCTATCTTGGGGTCATGCAAGTTTTGGGGGGTTTGGGGGGAGCGAGTGCCCTTGGGGGGGGCCTATATGGGGCTTTTGGGAAAAGGTGGGGAAAGGGTGTTGATGGGGGGGGGGGTCAGAAATCCCCAAAAGGGGAAAGCTTTTGGGGGTGAGGTTTGTGATAGGGGGGGTTGGTGGCAGAGGGAACAGTTGAGTGGGTTGAAATAAGGGTTTCCCCTATTTGCTTTGGGGAATTCGCGGGTGGAGTCTTTTGGGGGGGTTTTCTGTGGGGGGGTTTTTTCCCCTTCCCCCTGTGCGGGGGCCCCTGCTCTTTTTAAATTGCTTCTCTTTTCCTCCTTGGGGCTCTGAAACCCATCTTTAAATTTTAGTTCCTTTTTTTCTTGTGTTTGTCGCGGTCGAGTTATACCTCGGTCCCCCCTCTTTGTCCCTCGTTTTGCTTTCTCTTGCGGGAATTTCCGGTTCGAATTGATTCTTCCTTGAAAGTTATTTGGGACGGGCCGTTTCCTTCCATCGAAAAACCACCCAATTCCCTAAAAATTTTGTACCTAAAAACATATTGCCCTCCCCAAATTGTTTTCATGATCCCTTAAATCATTTTTTTTTTCCTTTTTTATTTTTTTTAAAAAATTTTTTGGCCCCCCCTTGGCTTCTTGGAGCCCGAAACACAAAAACTGCCCCTCGCCCTTTCCCCTCCCACTGAGTCTCCTTTGGGTTCCTCTGAGGCTTTTTTTTCCTTCCATTGACATTTTCTTCCCCTTTCAGCCCCCCCGTCATATCTGAAACTTCTATTCTCAGTGAACTGTTTTTCCCTCCCCGCCGGGCTGCCCCTTGCTACTGCATTTGGGCTGTTGTGTGTGTGTGTGTGTATGGGGTTGTGTGTGTGTGGGGTGTGGTGTGTGGTGTGTGTGTGTGTTTATTTTGTGTGATGGTGGGGCGCACGGGTTGTTTTTTGTTTTGTAGGGAATTTAAAGGGGGGCCCAAAGCAGGTGCTGTTGCAAAAATGTACAAAGGGAGCGGAAAATAAAATGTGTGTAATTTTTTTTAGGTCCCAAATTTAAAAATAAATATTTTCACAAATAAACAGCACGAAACTATTTTTAAAAATTACCCAGGATAACCCTAAAAACACCCAGACGAAATGATTTTTTTCCTTTGGCGGGGGCGCTTGAAACCCCCACTGCGCGTCTTGCAAATTTATAGATAAATAACCAAATAAAAAATAAGGGGTTCAAAAATTTTTACATTTTCTCGTGGAGGTGGACAAACAAACTAAACAAAGGGAGCACTCATAAAAAACAAAAAAAACATTAAACAAACACATTTAAATTTGGCAAATTTAAGGGTAAAAAATTTTAAACTTTTAAAATGTAGAAAAATTAAAAAATAAATAGAACTCCCAAATTTTCATTGATGACCGGCCCTTTTGGGGGCAAAACTGGAAGGTAGTTTGGCTGCGTCGGGCTAAATTAAAGGTCTAGGCGCCCTTGGTGATGTAATTACGGACGCATTTTTTCTCGTGCCCCCCTCCTGAAATTTTCCACCCCCCTGGACAGTCTCTCCCGTAGCCCAAAGTTTAAAAAAAGGGCCCGTTCTCATCGGGCTAAAACACGGAGGGTGGTAAAGTTTGATTTCCCGGATACATAACCGGGGGAAGGCTGAGGCTGGAAGATTCCAAAGGGGAAGTGGGGAAAGGGGAAGACACCCGGGGGCCCAGGGATGGTTTCCCGGGACACATAAAAGGGGAAAAAGCAAAAAAACCTAGGGAAGGGGGGGAAGGGGGAAAAAGGGGGCGGAAAAAGGGAACATGGCCCTTTAGAAAGAAATACTGGTTGCATAGGCTACCCGGGGAAAAGTGGGGGAAGGGGGAATATCTGAGGGGACACAGAGGGGACTCCTGGACCCCGGGACCTGTTAAACAAGAAATACTGGTTGCTGAGGAAAACCCTTTGGGAAAAGGGGGAAAGGGGGAAAAATATCTGAGGGGAAAAGATTAAATTTTGGGAAACCCATGGACCGGGAAAAAAAAGATACGGGTTTGCTGGGGCAGACCCGGGAAAAGTAGGGGGGGGGGAAAACATCTGAGGGGGACCAGAGGGGGACTCCTGGGACACATAAACCCCGAGGAAAGCATAAAAAAACACATTTAAGTGGAGGGGAAAGCCCTTTAAAAGGGACAAACCACGGGCCCTCCACGGGCAAGGCCCCGGTAACTCAAAAAAAATCTGAGGCTGACAGTGGTGA